TGTTGAAAATAGGTGTTGCCATTTAAAAAAATGTAAGTTTTATTGCGCATGCGCTCAATAAAAGAATTAAAAATTCGAAAATGATCACAAAATATGTATTTTAGTATTCCCTAGCTTCTCGAAAAAACTCCAATTCAATCCAAGGTCGCTGAACGGAGATATTTCGTGTTACCATTTAAGTGAAACACACTGTATACAAAAAATGATAAATGTAAATCGTATAAAATATTTAAATAATTAATTCTAAAAATGTTTAATAGTCGATATTAATTATGTATACATTTGTTTAGTTATAAACTATAAAGAAACGTGGAGGAATTTACGGATTGTATTTACAAGGAATATTACCAAAAACAGTGGATCAGCTGCAAAAAAAAAATATTACCTTACAGACAAGATGCAATTTATAAGACCTTATCTGAACTTGAAAAAAGGAAATTTACTACTGGGAAATTTACCTTCTCCTGCACATGACAATGACAACGATCAAGGCGCATCATCTTATCAAGACAACTACAATAATACAGATTTATGCAATAACATAACAATAACAATAAATCTGGATCGCTATGTAATTCATTTGCAACAACACTAGTACTAGAACATATATTAGATACATTTATCGGATGTACCCAATAACGACGTTTTTTTTAAATTTTTTTTTTGCCGTGCCCACCACCAAAGCAAAATTACGTCGTCCTCGTCAGACGACATTTTTAAAACTAATAATATTTCGTTTATTCCATAGTTTCATTGTTTAAGTTTCTTCAATATACAGATCAACGTGAAACTAGTTTCTGAAACCGATTGCATATAAAAAGTTTCGTGTTTATAATTTCTCTGGTGTGCGGCCCGCCTAATAGGTATACCACGGGTGAAGCACGTTTGGGTACATTGCATTATTTTTACCTGTAAATGTAGAACACGTTTGGGTACACAAACACATAGCATGTTTGGGTACATACGCTAATTGCCAATAGGTTATTTCGAAATAGGCTTATTGAGATATGATATCTTTATAAGATATGGTTTATAAAACTAACTAAATGTTTCAACGTTTCAATGCTCAGTTCCGATTTGGATTTTCAATAGGCAAGATTATTTTATTCTTTGTTATTATGGACGTGAATATTTCTGATGCTTTTGAAACCCGACGTGGAAAAAAGTGTGTTGTGATTAACAGTTATAAATTTAGCGAGTTTAGAGAAAACAAAAATACAACTAAAGTTTTTCGTTGCACGAATTGTAAATGTACTGTAAAATTAACTGCCAATTTAAAAACGGTAATTTCAATAAATGGTGAACATAGTCATGATGAATTAGTTGAAGAAACCATTACTAAACAAACAGTGATGTCACTTTTAAAGCGCAAAGCAACTACGGATCTTAACATGAAGCCAAATAAACTTATACGACAAGAACTACGTAATTGCCCAAAATCAGAGCACCTAAGTCATTCTGACGTCAGGTTATTCAGGAAAAGTATGTATGAAGCTAGACGAAAAATATTTCCAAAAATACCAAAATCCTTTATTCGAAGCTAAAGCTATGATTTTTCAAAATAAAAAAGATTTCGTTTCAAATAATGAACCATTTTGTTTTATGGATTCGGAAAGTAGTGTACCTATTTTTAACATGTATCTTTTAAATAGTTCAAAGCATGTTTTTGCTGATGGAACTTTTTCGTATGCACCAAAATATTTTCTTCAAATGTATACAATACATGTATATTTAAATGGATTTTATGTGCCAATTATATTTGTTTTTATGGACTCTAAAACACAAAAATCGTATACTGATGTTTGGTTGAAAATAAAAGAGTTATATTTTAAATTTCACGGACAACAATTGCAATTGAAAATGATACATTTAGACTTTGAAAAAGCTGCTCACAACGCAGTATTGGAAATTTTCGAAAATTGTCAAGTGGTAGGTTGCCGTTTTCATTTAAGTCAGGCCTGGTTTCGTCATATTAAAAAAAAAACAAAGAATTAAATAAGCACTATGCTGGAAAAACAGTTGTGTACCAGTGGCTTCAAAGTTTTTTCGATCTAAGTTATTTACCTTCTAATGAGGTTAATGATGGTTTTATATCTCTTATGACCAATGCACCCACCCAATGTTGAACATTTCACGGATTATATTGTAGACACGTTTATAGATGAAAATAGTTTATTCCCACCTCATTTTTGGGCAGGTGAGCCATCTATGGATCCTAGGACCTGAAGCTTTTCATAGAAATTTTAACAGTCAATTTTATTCTTGCCATCCTAATTGTTTTGCAATAATAAATATTTTATTAGAAGTTCAAGAAGAATCGTACCTAAAAATAGGTAGCATTAAACGAAATGTGCAAAACAAAAAAAGAAAAGAAGACATGGATAATATTACATATGTATTAAACAAATTTGAAGAATACAAAGTCGATAAAGATGTTGCAAAATATTTATCTCTAATTGGTCCAATATTTACCGGTAAAAACATTATATAATTGTAATATATACAAAGAGTTAATAATAAATAATAATGGTATAAAAGTATATAATATAATAAAAAATAATTTTAAAACTATGACAAATAATTAAATATTATACTAAAATATTTTTGGGAGACTAAATAGAGCCAACCTCCTCGTGGTGTCTCCTGGATAACGCTAATGGGTTCTAAAAATTAAAAACTAATGATTAATTATTAAAGTGTTATTTTTTTAGTTGATTCTATGTGTTATATTGATATCTATTTCCTATGTACCCAAACGTGTTGTCTTTCTAGAGATATGGTGTACCCAAACGGTGTATTCATTTGTACACAAACGTGTTACGGCCTATACTTAAAGTGACCATATATTTTTTTAATCAAAACGGGACAAAAAAAAATCATAATTATTTGTTACAAATAAATATTTTTAATTTAATAATATTATTAGCAAATTTCTGTGGTACTTACAATGTTTTTAAAGGACAAAAAAATTAAATTAACTTATTACACTTACTAGGTCATTTTATTATTATTAACAAAATGTTTTCGTGTAATAATTACAAAATTAAATACTTGTATATTTTTCGTTTGAACAAATTTGTTGTAGTAAATCTGGCGATGACTTCAGGAACGAGTAAAATTCTGTACAAGACATTTTAAAGTTAACTTTTGTTAGCAACATTGCTTTTAAACTTGACACTTGTAGCTGTGTTTTTCGGCCGTCCATAAATTGTTCATTAATGAAAAAATTCGTTTGACTGGTGCATTTGTAGCAGGCATGCAAAGAACATACTCAACAATTTTTTGAAAAAATGGTGTGGTTTAAATTGTTGTCTCGGAAGTACTGAAACACTTCTATCCAACGATGCTCCGCATATTTATTCGAAGAATCTGAATTCCACTCTTTCACTTTATCTGATACATACGATGAAATTAGTGTAAATTCATCAAATGCCTCAGTGTCCTGCTCAGAACCGATTAAACCTTTTTCAATTAGCACATCCATTGACTTCTGTACTTCTACCCATGTTAAGATTTTCCTCAAATCGACCCATTTAAATATCTGCAATTCAGACTGATTGTACGAAGTCCACTGCTGAAGGTATTCAGTAGTTGTTTTATAGAAATCCGAAGCAATTGATTTCACGTAGTCTTCTTGAACCTCTCCTTTTTTTTTGCAAGTCAGAGAGTAATCGACGGACAGAATAAGGTAGAAATATAGAACTCAGTTTTTCTTCTAAATTTACTCGTAACTCATTGATTACTTTGGCAGCTTCAATCGCTGAAATATTCTGACCTTCAATCCTTAATACTGCTGTATGAAAAGTTACCGACTGACTGTGTACGAAAAAAAGCCACAACTCGGAGGTAGGGCACTCAAAGAAATTTTTTAAAACTGTTGGACATTTTTTATACTTAAGAAATACTTTTTCAGTGGTACATATAACTGCAAAACTCTTTCGATGGCCGGCATTAATGCGAGCCATCTGGTTTTACTATAGCCCAGTAATTTCTGGTACTCAGTTCCAGCTGCCTCGCAAAATTGTTTTAAGGCTTCCTCTCGCACCGTGTAAATGTAGAAAAACGAGTAAATTTTAACAATTATACATTCTATATCAAATGGCAAGCAATCTGTAGCACATTTTATAGCGTTGTGAATCACGTGGGCGACACATCCAATTCCTATTAATGATCTACCCGTAATTTGATTTAATTTTGCAAACACATTATTCTTTCCTTTTCTTTCTGAACCGCCAAAGTTGCAATTCGTATTATCTCCGCAGAAAGCAACAATTTTAGATAAAATATTTTGTTCTCTCAGCACATCGGCAACGTAAGATATAATAATATTTGAGTTTTCGCAGAATAACTCTTTAAACTCCAAAATTTTGACTTGTGATCCGTGATTTGATGAATCAGTTGAAATAGATACCCAAGTAGCAGTAGTAAGGTGCTTTTTCAAATCGGATATTGCTTTTGGCGCAAATACTTTTTTTATTATTGCCTCTGTTTTTTTTACGCGCGCATCTAAATTTCGAGTCAAAACACGATTGGATTAGTTTGGACGCACAATCATTTGATCGAAAGCTGTAATTTTCTTGAACGGTATGGTAAGCCCAAACTCCTTCTGCTGCTGCAATTTCAAGATCTTTAGAAGTTGGAGTGTTAACATTTTTGAAATATCTCTGCAAAGGATGGCTTGCTGCTGCAGCACGGTCAGCATTTTTAAGTTTTTCAGATCTTAAATGTTGTTCTACATCACTCCCACCTCCGTGTGATACAGAAAATTGTGTAGAACATTTTTCACACAGTACATCAGATGGGCAAATGCCTCTTAATTTTATAAATGGATATTTCTCTTGAAGAGTTTTATTAAATATACACTTACGTTTCGGCATCTCGAATATATAAATGTACGAGAACACAGTACACCTTATTTAATAATTATATTACTTAATATACTTATACGATTTAAAATAGGTACCACACAATATAATTATAAGCAAGAGCATCCAAAACAGTTGACGGTTACTATAATACTAATACTACTACAGTAGAACCTCGATTATCCGAACCTCCGTTATACGAACCCTCTATTATCCTAACTGTAATATTAGCGTATCCGAACGTTCTGTTATCCGAACATGAAAATTCGTATCCGGCCGGTCGGCCGGTTTATCGAATTTATCATAACTATCGTTTTTGGTTTATTATTAGTACAGGTCATGTATGTATTTTACGTGCGTCTATCATTAAAAGATAACCAAAACGCAACGGACTTATCTAAACGACGTCCTCATGTTTTACATGTCAGTTTAGTTCGGCTCTCTACGACACACACATTGTTATACATACGTACGTACAAATATATTACGATTGTCAAGTGTATCTAAAATGTCTAATAAACGTAAACGTCATGTTCTTACGATGGAACAAAAAATAGAAATTCTTGCTAAACTGGACAAAGGTGAGACTAGTGTATCTTTAGCCCGTCTTTATAATATAGGTAAAGCGACAGTTACAGATATTAAAAACAACCACCATGTAATCATGGATTTTGCGTCAAAGATAGATAGTGGTGATGGAATAAAAAGAAGGAAAGTTATGAAAATCGCAAAATATCAAGATCTTGACAAAGCAATGGAAATGTGGTTTATACAAAAACGAAGCTTAAATGAACCAATTTCTGGACCAATCATATGTGAAAAAGCTCTCGAGATGAATACAAAACTTAAGGGCCCTGAAGATTTTAAGGCCAGCAGTGGCTGGCTTCATAAATTTAAATCTCGACATGGAATACGTGAGTTACAAATTCAAGGTGAATCATTATCAGCTGATTCAAGTAGCGCTGAAAATTTTAAACAAATATTCCAATTATTTGTGGAAAAAGAAGGATATTCTGAAGATTCCGTTTACAATGCCGATGAAAGTGGCTTAAACTGGAAAGCACTACCAAGAAAATCACTT